ACGTGGCCGGCCTGGGAACGCCCTGGGCTCCCACCAGAGGGAGGGCAGTCTGGGTTTCCCTACCAGGGCGGATTCTCCAGGTAACAAACTCACTAATAGAATGGAAATCGCCTATCAAGACAAAAAGGCTGAATGGAATAACACACTGGTAAAGGCAGGAGGGCACTTCTTCAGGGTGGAGATCTCCTAAACCACCACACGTTTAGCAGCTTTACATCCAGCTTTCATTGTTCAAATGGAACTTTATTCAGATTTGACTGGAACTGTTAACATCTTATAATTAGCTAAATGCAACAACATTTAAACATTATAATTCTCTAGATAAATGTGGTAAAGATGACTTTACATCATGGATTGATTTACAACAGGAGACGTTTTGCTGCAGCTTCAGCCAACAGGTTCAACAGCTGACCTGCGGGAAAGACAAGCAATGGTCAGGACCTCAGATATTGAGTCATGAACTGGAGCCGGTGGTAGGAGAACAACCGTTTCTGCAGCACAGTACCTGTGTGGTACGTAGGAACCAGTTGCTAAACCAGTTTTTACTGGAAATGCTATTCGGTTCAAATAATTAGAATAGGGATAGCCCAGGGCCGCGCCCTGTCACCTGACATTTAATTGTTCCTTTACATAATTTCCTCAGTAGGAAGCACCAGAAGGGAAGGCCGCTAACAGGTCTGCAGAACCTCATCTGTGGTTGAACTATTTTGATTCAGGTGTATAGAGCTGGGTATTGATTCAAATTTAAATTTGATTCGATTCAGATTCTCAAGGATTAGAATCGATTATCACAATCCGATCCAGTTCAGTCTGTTCCAGTTCAATATTAGTATGAGTCAGTGCTATTAAAACACCCTAAAATGGCCATCTGGATTTTTCCTTCTAATTTTAGATGTATGAAGGCAAATTATGTTCAAAAATTGATTAGATTTTTGGACTTATGGCTCGATTCAATTCAATACGTGGAATTTTTATGAGAATCGATTCAGAATCAATGAATTGATTTTATTACCACAGCACCACAGTTGAGATTTCAGAGTCATCAAAAATATTAGCTTCATCTAAACCTTCAACTTGTATTTTAGATCCAATCCCAAGCAAATTATTTAAAGATGCATTTCCTTTGGTTACTGCCCCCATTTTACATATTCATTCATTCATTATATAATCAATCTATTCTTAGTCAGGGTTTTCCCCAGAAAACATGGGTTGGACTGTGAAGGCGGGGTGGGGGGTGGGGTGTAATCGCTAACATTCCTCGTCCGTGAGAGCGGGCGGAGAAGTTAGAGCCAAGAGGGACCACACTTGGCCTGGTGAGTGACCAAGCAAACTATAAAGAGCTGGGGGAAACCCTGCTTAGTGAATAAAAACTTTCTCTGGATCCAGATGACCCAATGAATTATAGACCAATATCTAACCTTCCATTTTTATCCAAAGTCCTGGAGAAAATAGTGGCCATCCAAGTATGTGAGCATTTAAACACTAATGCTCTGTTTGAGGAATTTCAGTCTGGTTTTAGAGAGTATCACAGCACTGAAACTGCATTAGTGAGAGTTACAAATGATATTCTCATGGCCTCAGATAAGAATCTTGTGTCTGTTCTAGTCTTGTTAGATCTCAGTGCTGCCTTTGACACAGTTGATCACAATGTTCTTTTAGAAAGACTTGAACATGTTGTAGGGATCAAAGGAACAGCGTTAGGCTGGTTTAAATCCTACCTGTCTGACAGATTTCATTTTGTAAATGTACATGACAAATCGTCTTCATACTCCAGGGTAACTTGTGGAGTACCACAGGGTTCAGTGCTTGGACCAATTCTTTTTACTATATATATGCTCCCAATTGGTAAAATCATTACACAGCATGGGATAAACTTCCACTGTTATGCTGACGATACTCAGTTATATTTATCCATTAACCCTGATGAACCTAATCGGTTGGGTAGATTACAGGCTTGTCTTGAGGACATAAAAAATTGGATGACTCTAAACTTTTTGCTTTTAAGTCAAGACAAGACTGAAGTTCTCATCTTTGGACCAGAAATCCAGAAAAGGAAATTGCTTAGTCAATCACCTGACCTGAACGGCATTACATTTATTACATCAAGACTGGATTGCTGTAATCCATTACTCTCAGGAAGTCCACAGAATGTAGTTAAAAGTCTTCAGCTTGTCCAAATGCTGCAGCTAGAGTTCTGATGAGAATTAAAAAGAGAGATCATATCTCTCCTGTCTTAGCTTCCCTACATTGGCTACCTGTTAAATTCAGAATAGATTTTAAGATCCTCCTTCTCACATATAAAGCTCTTAATAATCAAGCTCCATCATACATCAGTAATCTGATTGTTCCATATGTTCCTAACCGAGCACTTCGCTCTCAGACTGCAGGTCTACTGGTGGTTCCCAGAATATCTAAAATTAGGATGGGAGGCAGATCTTTTAGCTATCAGGCTCCTCTCCTGTGGAACCAGCTCCCAGCTTTAGTCCGTGAGGCAGACACTTTGTCTACTTTTAAGAATAGGCTTAAAACATTTTTATTTGATAGGGCCTATAGTTAAAATCTGATGTTAGCCTAGATCTGGACAAGTGGGGGAGTAGAGGGAGGTGGAGTGTACAGTCGGTAAAGACGGCTCTCCCTTGCCCTGCCTCCAACATGCCTCCATCTAAATAGGATAGATTATCCAGAGTTATCTCTGTAGTTATGCTGCTATAGGCTTAGACTGCTGGAGGACACACTGACCACTTTTCACACTCTACTGCTTTCTTCTACTATCTGCTCTTTAACTGTATTATTTCCTGCTGTTTCAGCTGTTAACTTTATTTTTTCTCCAAGTGTTTTTCTCCCCAGAAGAAGCTACAACGATGTTCTGCTGAGCTGTGGTGGCCTCATGGAGGGGGCCATGAAAGAGGAATGTCCTGTTAAAACAATACAGCATGTGTATTGTCTGACATATGGCTGAAATCTCTCACACACAGACCAACAAGTTCTTGGTTAAATGTCTTCCAATAAGTTGCGTCTAGATAAAGTTGTGTGAAGACAAAGAATCTGGAGGTAGTCCTCCTCCTTTGTCTCCCAGTCCCACATACTGCTGCTACCACTACCATGCTTAGGTCTGAAAGCCTCACCTCAACTCGAAACAGCTCTATCTCTGTCTAATCAGACTGTAAAACCTTTCTTCAGAGGACATGTGCCTCTTGTCCATGTGGAGCTCCAGAATCCAGACCAGTCTGAAGGTCTCTTTTTCGTGTATTTGTTGAATCTTTAACTGCATCTGATTTGAGAAAACAAATCCTGGTAGACTATTGTGATGTTTCTGTTGGCTCTGCAAATAAACTTCTCCTTTCCTAATTTCAGATCAGAGGAGAACACAGAACTCAGCTACTTAAATGCATCTGTCTTTACTTCTGAGAAGCCTTTAACCACCAAGCAGTGGTTGCACTTTATTTGTATTTGCATGAAAATAAAACAGAAAATCTTAAAAGAGGCACTTCCTTCATCACAATAAGGAAGTTCATCATCTGCAACTAAGCACAGGCCGGTTTGCACATAATGCCCCGCAGGCTCAACCACATCCTCCAGACCAACAGAGTCTGACTAACGCGTCAGGAACAGAAAACAAGAACAGAAAGACAAATATTCTATTTTACAACTTTAATGATCAGGAACAGCAGCTTTAAAGAACATGGCTGCAACGGAGAAGGAGGAGTTTACTAAAACCAACTTGTTTTTGTTTCTGGTGGAAACACAAACATAAACCTGTGATACACGCCTCAGAGAGCAGGGTGTGTAGCCGAGGACACTTCAAATATGCTTCTGCTATTTTATCATAAGCCGACTCGTCCTTATAAACCATGCTGATGCTGACGTTTTAGTTCCTGTAAGTGATTAAACTGTAGCTGCTGATGCTGCCCAGGAAACTAGAGTTCGGTGAAGGTTGTCTTTATTAGTCCCTAAGGGGGAAATTGAGTTGCCGTGGACAAGTATTATTATTGTTATTGTTCCTGTATTATTTCCCTAAACATTAAAACAACATGATTGGATTTAAGTTATGACCCGCACTTGTATAGCGCCTCTCAGAGTAAGGACTCCAAAGCTCTTTACACTACAGTGTATCATTCACCCATTCACACACACATTCACACACTGGTGGTGATGAGCTACGATGTAGCCACAGCTGCCCTGGGGCGCACTGACAGAGGCGAGGCTGCCGAGCACAAGCGCCACCGGTCCCTCCGACCACCACCAGCAGGCAAGGTGGGTTAAGTGTCTTGCCCAAGGACACAACAGCAGAAATCCCTGTCCGGAGCCAGGATCGAACCTGCAACCTTTCGATCACTGGACTACCTGCTCAAGTTGAGCTACTGCTGCCCAAAGTTATTTTGGTATTGTGCAGATTAATGGTGATGATGATAGTGTGTGTGTGTGTGCACGCGGGGGGGGGGGGGGGGGGGGGGGGGGGGGAACCAGGCCACTGGTACCTGCCAATCACAACAGAGTTTTTCAGTCAACTAACCAACCACCTTCTCCTTTGCTTTCCAAACAAAAGAGAAAAGGCTGAAGAATGAAAAACCATCTAAAGGGTTGCTGCTATTTATGTCAGAACAAGACACAGAGGTGCAGAAGCAATCAGCTTCATTGCTCCCTTCACAAAGAGAGGGCGGGCGTGTCAGGAAAATTCATCTGTTTCGTTATGAGTCCCAGACGTTGTTGCATCTACAAATAAAATGAGCCAAAGTGCAGCAGTTTGCTTCCATTTGTGTTTTCCATTTAAAGGTGCAGTATGTATATAGTGAGAACTTTACAGTGAGAAAATCCCCAAAGAGTCTGATGTTTCAGTCATTTAGGAGGGAAGGTTCTACTGAAATATATTTCATATCAGCTGACTGCAGGTTTGTCAGTTTTTCTCCTTTCAAAACAAAGGAAGGAGGGACGTAACTTACCGATTACCATCAGTGAGTGTGTGTGTGTGTGTGTGTGTGTGTGTGGGGGGGGGGGGGGGGGGGTTCTCCTGAGAGCTAATGCTGTAGCGCCCACTATTTTAATTTGACGACAGCCTGCAAAAAGCTCCAGAGTTGTTTAAAACGGTTGCAGTAACCACATTTTACCACAGGAGGTCATTTTACTCCTTTTCTACATAATGCACCTTTAAATACAAACTTAATGAAACTTCTAAGTACTCCCTATGAAAAGATGGTGCCCATTAAAATCAAAATACTGATGTCTGAGGAAATAACTGCATGTATAAAACTGAGTACACATGCATTCAAGCACATTTCCTGCAGACTTCCTGATCATCGTGAAACCAACACAAATGGGAAATACCAGATATTTGGTCTAACAGACCCCGCCCATTAAAGGTAGGACCGATTTTCCTGAGAAAGCTGGTCTAATCAGCTACATTTTGGGAAAAAATACACAACTTTAAGGCCACACCTCTTTTTTAATTTATTTCTTTGATTATAACATCAACAGAGTTTTCTATCTAAGCAACACAAAACAACATAAATTACAACCAAAAAAGGAACAAGCAGAAGCAATGCTTATTTTAGCCTACCCTATTTTCCATCTAAATCAAATAACCTATAAACATTTTCATTATTTACACGTACTTCCATAATCAGTAAATATTTAACACCTACCATATGCTTTAAACTTTGATAAAGAAGTACATATCTCCATAATTTCACGCCAAAAACAGAAACATTTCACATTAGTTCGTGCTTTTGCACATTCAAAAATCAATACACCTCTAAGATTATAATGGCTATCTCTTCATTTGAAATAAACTTTTAAACAACTTGGGATATTTTTATTAGCTACTCTATGGAGAATCTCTAAAGTTTTAACGTGGACAATAGCTCTAAATTTTAGTTTGACTTTAAGTAAATAGTTAGTTGGTGTGAGGTATCCTACTTTATTAACAATTCTAATAGCCTTTTTTGCAATTTAAATAGAGATTCAATACAACTTTTCCCACATCTCCCCAAATCTCTGCACAGTAAGACAAATAAGGCAGAACTAAAGAGCAATAGATCAAAAACGAAGCTTTTCTTGTTGAGTACCTCGTTTTATAGAGTATAGCAAGAGATTTAGACACTTGGCGTTTGATATATTCAATATGTGGTTTCCAACTAAGTGTACGATCAATAATCACACCTAAACATTTTGCTTCATGTAGTCAGTCAATTCGAACTCCATTTAAATAAAGTTTAGCGTTACCACTATCTGTTTCCTGAAAAAATCATAAATTTAGTTTGATTTTCATTTAATGATAATTTATTAGTCAAACCACTTTTTAAATGTGACCAATTCATTTTCCACCTCTTGCAGTATTTAACTCATATCTTTTCCAGTACAAATAAAATTTGTATCATCAGCAAACATAATGAATTTCAACTGAGATGATACAGAAAATATATCGTTTAGGTAGAGTGTGAATTATTTGGCTCCGAGGACCGAGCCTTGCAGCACACCACATATTACTTGTTCAAGCTGTGAATCTGTATTATTTAGTTACCGTAATTTCCGGACTATAGAGCGCACCTCAATGTAAGCCGCACCGGGCTAAAAGCCACAGATATCTACTGAATTGAAAACGTAGTTTAACTGAACGTAACTGATCTGATCAGTATCAGACAAAACAGAAAAGTTATTGATTAGTTTATTCATCGTCCTCCTGCGCTCTGAAACCACTGAAGTCATCTTCTTCAGTGTCGGAGTTGAACAGCCTCAGAAGAGCTTCGTCACATACCTTTTCTGTGGCGATGTCCGTGTCGCTCTCTGTGTTGCTGTCATCATCCCCGGGTGAAGCTGGGAAAACAAGCAGCGCCGTTTTACTGTGAAAAAAATCCTCCTGGGCGCTTTCCGCAGCGCTCCTTTAACCATGTAATGGAATGAAATGACTGTTTTTTCCCTTCTTTGCACAGGACTAGTCTGCATGAGATACAGTCTCAAGGTCTCATGCATTCCTTCTACCCTGCTTATTTTCAGCTCAACAGAAGAACAAAGAATGAACTCTTTTCTTTTAATTAGTCAAAGAACTCTATTGCGGATTTGATCCTTGAAAGCACCTCGTCCAGCGCCACCACATGTTCACTAAAGGACTTACTGCAAATCAGTACGTCATCAAGGTATACCATACAGATCTGCCAGGGGAGGCCTTTAAGCACCAGCTCCATGACTCTCTGGAAGGTTGCTGGAGCATTGGTTTGACCCATTGGGATTTACCTAAACTGGTACAGCCCATGTCCAGTAGTGAAGGCAGTCTTTTCACGGTCATGGATCTTTACAGTACGCTCTAATGGGAAACAGGCTTCAACACAAACGGTTGTTTTCTGCTTGGTCCTAGAGCTCAACCAGTGTCAATTTAATGCAGCGTAATATTGTTTTTGGATGGTAAAAAGTGCAGGGGTCAAATCTTGACTTTGGAAAAAGTGTGGGGGGGGACATGTCCCCCCCCCCCCCCCCCCCCCCCAAATTACGTCCATGGACGAGCCAGTCTGTCATCCTCCACACCACGGCTTCGCGCCTTCAAATCTGTCACATCCATTTGTAATTTTTCCATCCTTGCAGTTAAACGCTCCACAGCACCAAGGAGAATCTCTGTGTCCTTATTATCACAGCCCCTCTCAGCGGTCCCAGCAGGAGAATGTGCAGCCACCGTCACCGGGCCATTCGAGGAGAAGTTGACGGTCTGCGTCCCTACGCCCAAGGCCAGCCTAGCCCGCTCACAACGTCCAGCAATAATCAGGGCCTCGTCTAGATCAGTAGCCCCCTGTTCGTGACATTTAGCACGGAGGCCTGGGTCCAGACCGGCGAGAAAACGCCTAAACTTTTCTCCATTTTGTGCCCCGGCGTCATACTCAGGAAAAGCCTCCGTGACAAGCCTCGAAATATCAGCCGCATATATCTCCAAACTCTCATTAGCCAGCCTAGGCCGAGCAGAAACACAGGTCTGAAAGTGCAAGATGAACTGTTTCTGTCCAAATGCCTCATTTAACTTCTGTTTAACACGGTCAAAGCCACCTTGCATAGCTGAAGGGAGGCTGTCCCACAAAAGGAAAGCGGCCCCGTCCAGTCTAGTGGGCAAAAGAGCAGCCACAGTGGCGGTGTAGTTCCGTCTTCCCGCTCCTCGGGTTTGGGCGCGAACGGCAGCCTCAAACTGTTTAATCCAAGTAGCGAAGAGTTTACGACCGTCGCCACAAAATGGCGCGGGCAGCTCCACTTTGACGTTACACACATCCTCAGTCCAAACTGGGCTCTGCTTGTCCTCGTCCATACCGGTAAAAGAGCCTCCGAACATGGTCCTGCGTAGCCTTCTCACGAGCCACGTCCCGGGGGTAAACATCGCCAAACACCGCTGTAACGGGCGAGCTGTAGAGGTTCGAGCTCGTGGTCTCAGGACAATGAGGAGATAGGTGAAAAATACCTTTGGAGTACGGGAACACGTCTCCGTTTATTTGGAAGCTTCACTTGTTAACACCCCAGCAGCCTGCGAACGAATGAAGGTCTATAGAGAGTCTAGTGACTCCACCCTCCAGTCCGACAGTTCAAGGTTAACGGCACATGCGCACAACCCATCACCCGCTTACAACATGTCAAATTCTGATTTGCCAAACTTAGCCAGAAATCATAACATTGCGGGTTAATAAAACAGGATTTACTTCCCGATTAATTCGGTTTCCAGCTGACTCCTGATTCGGCCAAATCGGGAAAGAAGCCTTTTTGAAACAAACTCCTTTGACCTCCAGTCAAAAGTCTCTCTGCAACGCTGCAGCTGATTACAGCCGGACAGCTCTTTCCTGAGCTACTTCACCTCTCAAACATCAGCCTTAGATGCAGTTTTATGCTGTTTTCACGTGTCCTCACTGCAAACAGCTTTCAGAGTGCTAATGTTTTTAGCCGTTAGCTTAGCGTTGAAACATGACTTTGTTACCTTATTAAAACAAACGCACCAGAAATGTGGATTTAAAAAGACACTAAAAGTTAGTAACAAGGAGATCTTAGCACATACTCATCGTTAGCATTAGCGATAGCATCATTATCACGAGTTAATGAAACAATAGCACAACTCACTTCCAGGCAAAAAGAAGGCGATTGTCATCTAAAGCTTCTCCGGTTGACTAAAAGGTTAATCAACCTGAAATACAACAGCTGCAGGCTTCCGGGCTTCTAAAAGGCTTTTGTTTGGTTAGCAGAGTGATGGGAGGAAGGCAGCAGAAGGTAGTTTGTTGTGCTGATCGCTTCAGCGCTGGTTAAATCCTCCAGTGTATGAAAAGTCCCACTTTTACACTATATGGGTCAGATGTATTTTTTCACGATATCACGTCTGCGCCAGCTCATTAAAGTCTAAGTGAAATCACTTTCATCCATCATCGGGTTGTCTTGTTGTGGAGCGAAACACTTCCTGTCCCCCATTTGAGTTTCGCGCGACTGCAGTCACGTGAGTGAAGCCCAGCAATCAGCTCAGAGTTTAATGGGTGTCAATCATCTGCTCCACCCTTTGTTTATTACAGGATCTAAGTCAACCATCAGGAGCCCAAGTTCTGCTCATGAACCAAACGTTTCTTCTCTGAACCGAATGTTCTGGTTCTGCTGTTTTAATAAAAGAGAATTGTTGATCACATGAGAAGTTTTCAATTAACACTTTAATTTATCCATAGAAATGGCTTCAAATCACACGACAGGAAGTACAAATGCGAGTCTTTTCTAGATCTAAGAAGTATATTAGGTAAACACACACACACACACACACACACACACACACACAGGAGGTAATAAACAGTAGACGTGTGAGGAAACAGGGATGTATCCAGTGTGAGCAGCTGCCTACAAGACAGAAAAAAACAACAGGTAAATATGATGACCAAAGAACTCTTCCTTACCCTGGTATCAGAGTCAATGTAGACCCACTTTATTTAAAAACTTCCTCACCAGCAGTGTGTTTGTGGAAATGGAAATAAAATAGAGGGTAGGTGTTGATTTGAAAGCTGCGGCTCAGGTGTGACGCCTGCTCATTTATCTTTTTATGCTGCAGTGGTGCTTCTAGTTTAGCGCTGGTTGACAGTAAGTTGTGCCTCAGCTCTCTGATAGCGGTAAGTGAGGTCACATGGTCCCTTCTTCTGGATCCGTCATGGATGTGGTCACGTCGTACTTCTCCAACAGGACCCTTAGAGTCATGCTGGATCACTATGCATCCCAGTCGGTCTCCCTTCCCTGGGGGGCCATCAAGGATCCATCCTTGTACCGTTACTCTTTTCCCTTATATTCTGTCCTTAGGAGCCATTTTTAACAGCATGCAGTTTCCCATCACTCATATGAGCACGATTGCCAAATCTACATCTCACTCAACCTCAACTTCTGCTCAATTGTCATTGTAACATCCAAGAGTGGCTGGATGAAAACTCCCTCCACCTGAACCACTCGAAAACTCTTAACGTGTTTCAGTCCTGATAAAGTTAGAGGGACTCCGCCGCCTGACTAAACCTCTTTCTTCTTCTGTGTGACCTTAACTCTTTGGAGCCTTAGAGTAAAAATGAACACGGCCTTAAAGAGGGACACTTAGGTTAATGGCACAGTTCGGTGATTCTCCAAATTTAAGCCTATCCTGAGTAACCGTCCTCGAAAACCCGTGATCCATTCAAAAAAATAAACTGAGCTCTGCCACCAGACCCAACGAAATAACTGAGCTCTGTCAAAAGGTCCGTCGATAAAATCACAGATCTCGGCATGACTACTCCTGCTCCTGCCTTTATGGCACTAGCAAAGCTGCTCTGTCCAGACTTAAGCTGGTTCAGAAGGCAGCCGTAAGGTTCTTGACCGGAGCAAACAGGAGACATTACATTATACCTATTCTCTCATCTTTCCACTGGTTGTCATTTCAATTTAGGACAAATAGAAAAAGTCTTCTTTTAGTTTTCAAGTCCTTAAATTGTCAACCCCCTTCCTATCTGAGTGTGTTCCTCCACCGCTACTACCCTCCTCGTGCACTAATGTCTGCGGATCAGCCCCTCCTCACATGTCAAGGCCTGTGGTGGTAAGGCCTCTCTAAAGCTGGTTTTCCAGGGACACTACTCAGAGCAACTCGGACCGATGCAGCTCAGCCCGACCAGTTTCCAAGGGCACTGTTCAATCGATCAATCAATAAAATTGTATTTATATAGCGCCTTCCACCAACCTTGTGGGGGCCCAAGGCGCTGAACTCAACATGGAATAAAATCACCAAAGAGCAATAAGCATAATAAAACAACTTTACAACAAATAGATAAATAGGTCATAACACAAGCAACTAAGATAATGATGTTAATGATGATGGGACAGCAGTAGCTCAGGGGGTAGAGCGGGTTGTCCAGTAATTAGAAGGTTGCAGGTTCAATCCCGGCTGTGAGTGAGGATTGACGATGCTTTCTGTTTTGATGCTCACGTTGGTGCTTCCTTTTTATCATCTGAGGCGTTTGGCTAAAGTGAAGTTATTTTTGACTAGACAGGATCTTAAGACTGTTGTTCATGTCTTCATGACCTCATGCCTTGACTACGCTAACTCTCATTTGTCTTATTTGGTCTAAGTAAGAGTATTGTAGCTCCCTTGCAGCTTGTTCAGAATGCTGCAGTGAGATTTTTGGAAGGCAAGAGAAAGTATGAACACTCGACTCCAATCCTGGCTGCTCTGCACTGGCTACCTGCCAATTATAGAATTTGTTTTAAACTTCTTTTATTGGTGTTCAAGGCAAAGAATAGGTTGGCCCCTGCCTATTTGTCAGAGGTGTGGCAGCCATGCGTTCCTGGTTGGGCACTCCACTCTGAGAACCAAT